AAACAAAGAGTTTAGCCCTAATGGAATCGCTCTGGGTGTTTAAATTGGGCCTTATTGTTCTTATGTACAACATTTCATAAACAAGACAATCCCATTTCGTGCCGCATTTTTTAAGCATTCTAAACTGGCTCTCATTGAGTAAGTCAATGTTCCCATGGGCATCTCTCAGGTGGCGACCAATGGCAGAATATCGATGATCAGCAATGCGTTGAAACAAATAACGCGTCGTATATCCGACGTAATTTGAATCACACGTCGAATCGAAACGTCGAATCGAAACGTCGTGTCATGCTTTATAATATTTTATCGCAGTTTTTCATTGTCAAATGTGTTACCAAATCTTTACTTATTCGAATATTTAATTTTATTGCAAAAACACCTTAACAATACAGTTCTAGAGTTTGAAATCTAAAGTTGATACAAAATGAATAACATAATATAAGAGATATCCTATGGTACTGTGTCCAACTTGGTATGGTACTGTGTGTAGCTTGAAGAAGAACAGCTTTCCAGTGTATGCAAAGTTAGCGATTGTTCCCTATATCTTGTATGGCAGGTAGCAGAAATGTTCTACAAACTTAAACCCACATTTGTAGATGATCAGTGTAACAACAAAAAGCTTTTGAACCGCCCCCCTTCATTATTCCCAAATTTTTGTAATGACCTCCTATTTTAGTTCCTGAATTTATCATGACCCCCCCATTTTTCTTGCCAGCCCTCCCCCCGCCATAAATAATGAAGGCTCCCTTACACCCGTGTCTCTACACATTTTTTGTGGCCACAAGCAAGTGAAACTCTGTCCTAAATAACCCTCCATTACTTCTGGTTGACTGAATATATTACGCTAAAAGAGGCTCGATGCCACCCGTCAAACTGCATGTCATGTCAAAACTGCGAAGTGTAGTTGATTTTTCATGGAAAAAAATTGGATTTAGGTATCAAAAGGGTTTTGTTCATCTTGCTTTTCCAGGGTCCATGCTACATGCCATGTTTTCAGGCAGATTTGACACAAAACTTGGTGAGGATGGATCTTACTTCATCGATCGAGATGGAACCCACTTCCGACATATCCTAAATTATCTTCGCACTGGAAAACTCGTTTTACCGACGATACAGTCGTTCGCAAGGAGCTGTTAAACGAGGCGGAATTCTATCAAATCGATGGGATACTCAATGAGCTGAAAGCAAAGCCGTTTAAAGATTCTGCAATTCTCTCTTCAGAACAGCGCGAAACCCTGACAGACTGGCTGAAAGACACTCGCGAAAGCTTGAGCGACGATTACGTGTTGTTATATCGAGCTTCTCGCAATGGCTGGGCTGCCTCTAACTTTCATTCCTGTTGTGATAACAAAGGACCAACAGTTACTTTGGTAAAGAGTGGAAACTACATATTTGGAGGATATACTGCACAATCATGGCAATCGTTAAGTAAGAGACCCTCTTATTAGCCCCATCAAACTCCCTTACTATTTTTTCCCTCTATGATAGAGTATCCTATCCTAACAATTTGCACGTACAGTTCGTCTTTTACTTTCCCTTTACAAATTATTCACGGAAGGAAGAAGTATTTTGCTCGGGAACTGTCGGGAAAATATAAAGGAAAACAAGAAAGTAAACTTGAATCGGTCAGGAAGTGCCACTTTTGCAATAATAAAAAAATTCCAAATCAGATTGACAATCAGTAACAGCTTGTTCCTGGACGCTTTATAACCCATAGTGTGAACTTCATATATGAAACATCCAGTAAGTACTCTGTTTCACAATTTCCAAAATTTATAACTCTCAGAAAAAATCCACAGGACGATCTTATTAACCCCCTCTTCTTTCTTGTACAGTGATATGATAGAGTTGTCAGCCTGCTCTTATTTCCATGGACTAAACCTTTTTACATGACCATTCGCCTGAATGGGAATCTCGAGTTTTAAAGGAGTCCCTCATCTCAGAGGGACTTTTGTTGATGGGCGGGAATACTTCTTGTATACTTTTACCTAAGTTTTGTCATTGTTAAAACCTACATAGTGAAATTACAGCCTTTGATGAAACTATTTTTAAAAAGGATAAAGGCTGATAGTTTCGAAAGAAACTGTTTGGGGCTGCGTCGGTGGGAGTAACGAAATAATTTGGATATATCAACAAAGTTGAAATGGTAACTTGGCCAGCGTAACGATTACAAAAGCTGACGTTTCGAGCATTAGCCCTTCGTCACTATTTTTAAAAAGTGTGACTAGTTAACTTCCTTTCTTTCAAGGAATAGTGAATTTCAGTCTCATTCCACACTAAGCTAAGGGCAAAGTGTTTTTCAGAGGTCATGATGCACTGACCAGAAAGTGACAACTCTTACCCACAAGCACAGACATTGATCATTGCTGTGACAATTTCTTGTCGTGGTCTTATCCCTATTTACTTTTGAGAAATGGTATACAACCAATCTAACTCAGCAAATATTTTTTGTCAGGTACTGCATTGTACAAAAGAGCTCCGGGTTCAGCCTTGTCAATGCCAGTGGTCTGCCACCAACAAAGATGCCTTTGAGAGGTGGTCAAGAAGGTAACGCCATCTACTGTTACAGTAGCAATGGTCCAACATTTGGAACTGGACCTGACCTTTCCATATGCAACTCTCCAAATTCTAACAACTGCTCTGTTAGCCTTCGTAACACGTACCAGTGCCCAGCCGGTCAGAACGGTAGCCTTTTTTTAACAGGGAATCAAAACTTCACTGTGCAAGAGATGGAAGTGTTTAAGTTCAAAAATTAGAGGCGTTTTTGTCATTTTTTCCCTTCCTGATGAGATTTCAGCTGATTTTGTAAACGTTTGCTAGTGAGTAAATTTCCTCATGGTTAAATCATGTCCCTGATCCTGGATTTGAGAACTAAGAGGTTTTTAAAACTTTGTTATTGGACTGATCTGGTTTGTAAACAATCGCTTTTTGTCTTTGATTCTCGAGATTTTGTTTATCAGTTAATTAATTGGGTTGTTGTTACTTACACAATCTTGAGTTATTAAAAAAAAAAAAAAAAACGCTTGCGAAGACTGTTTCTGGCTGGAGATCCGCGAGGATATTAACCGGAAGGTGGAGGAGGAGAATTAACAAACAAAACCGGATTTGGGTTTTCTATATATAATGGTAAGAGTGCATGAGTTATTTGACACTTTTAGAAAGCTAGCCTGTATATTCCAGTCGGAAGCGTAACTTCCTCCCATTTTCACTACACCGTTCGGCTATCGCACTGTGTACTATTTCGCTCCGTTCTATTGAGTGGACACCTTGTATAAGCGAATGGCCCATTCGCTTATACATTCGCTTAAGTTCTGTTGTGGCATAATTGATAATTTTTTTAACGGGGAAGGAAAGGGTTGGGGGGGGGGGAATCCAGCGCAATTCATGAATTTAAGAAGCTGGGACGGATCCAGGGGAGGTTCGAGTGGTTCGGTCGAACCCCCTAAATTCTCCCTTAGAACGCTGGAAGTCGTGTTTCTAAAGACCTAATTTTCAAAATCTGCCAGGGGAGCATGCCCTCGGATTCTCTGAACCCCCCTTTACTAAATCTTGGATCCGCCCTTGAGAACATGACAAGCCGTGTTTCCTCTACTTTGACTTATGACCTGCTCATTGAAAAAAAATGATACATATGAACACAAAACCTCGTAAAGACTTGTCTTTTCTGAAGATTTTAGGTTTTTAGCGAAAACAATTTCTCTGAATTAGTCTCTCAGGAAAGGTACCTACGGTGAATTAATTTATTTGGTTTAACCGTCCTGGCATCTCGTAATTCTTTGTAAGCGGTTAACCCATATCTAATCTTGTCGGATCAGGTCTTGATAAAGCCAGAAAGGGCTGCTGAGGGCTCATAACGCGTTCCACTTCCTTAAAGCTCCTTGAAGGATTTATTAGTTTGTGTCGGAAAATTCACACAATATTCAATTTTTGTAAACTACAAAGATGTCTCAGGACGGTTAGGGATGTGTCAAAACACTCTTGCGTGTTGTGACTAGTTCAATGCTTGTATAAAGTAGCACGCGAAACGAAGTTGACCATGAAACACATATGAATTTTCATATCAATGCGTGACTAAACGTCCTAAACGGCCAGTTGTTTCCGAGAAATCGGAATACCGAGAATTAATCAAGACCACGTGCATTTTCCGCGAAATATGTAGACAAAGAAGCTTTTGTTCATTCTTGGAACACTTTCTGCATTTGGTACCTGTCGACGTCTTGTTAGAGAGAGTTAAAATGCTTTCTAACCGTATTTCGAAGAAAGGTGACTCACACAAGTACAACGGCGTGGAAAAGACCGAGCTGTCTTCCTCGGGCAGTTCAAAGAAAGATTTACCCGACGACGAAGCTCTGGATGAAGTGAACATACACATTTCTAATGCATTCTGTATTTTGAGGCGCGAGATAAGCAAAGTTCGCAAAGAAAAGGAAGCTTTTGAAGAGGTTGCAAAGAAAGTGGAATATGTTCATTTCTCGACGATGCTGAATATGGAACGCCATGACTGTCTTATGATACTTTTGGCCATGATATTCGGTGCTTACATCCTTATATTGGGTGCTTACATCCTTATATTCGGCGGTTAAATCATTATATTCGGTATTTACTTCATTATATTCGGCGCGTACTTCGCTATGTTCGGTGCTTACTTTATTATATTCGGTGTTTACTTTCTTATNACTCGTGCTACCCGAAGATACAGTCGTTCGCAAGGAGCTGTTAAGCGAGGCCGAATTCTATCAAATCGAAGGAATAGTCAGAGAGCTGAAGGCACAACCTTTTCAGGATTCAGTGATCCTCTCCTCAGAGCAACGTCATATCTTGATTGACTGGTTGAGAGACACGCTTGAGAGTGCAAGTGACGACTACGTTTTGTTGTACCGCGCCACCCGGAATGGCTGGAATGCTTCCAACTTTCACTCCTTTTGCGACCGAAAGGGGCCAACAGTAACAGTGATTAAGAGTGGAAATTCTATGTTTGGAGGATATACTGAGGAACAATGGTATCAACCCGGTAAGTTTTTATGCATCTTCCCTAATCTCTTAACAACAGAGTTAAAGCGACTAATTTGTTCCCCATCAGACCTGAGCTGTGTGCAATGGAATACCTGTGCGTGCGATGGAAATTTGGCACGAGAAAACCCATAACTCCTTGCTTTTCTTCATTGTAACCAGTCTCTCGTGCTTTCAACTTCGGTCATGTTAAGTTGCGTGTTTTAAACAAACTGACACGCGGCTCCAAACAGTATTCAGTTTATTAAGAAGACAGAAGATCTTTTTCTTTTATGCGATTATGCAGTTAAGTATGGACTACACAGTAGACCGAGAAACTGACTACATTTAGGAGAGCAAAGGTTTTCAAATGTTCTTCCCACTGAAGTAATACAACGTTACCGCTCAAGAGTGTTGCTCCACTTGAAGTTGCGATTCAAATCAAGTTTTACGCAATAATTCGAAAACATCTTGCTAACAAAAGTGGGTTGGTCGGAGATGTTTCATATGATACTAACGTGGAGCGCAGGAAATAAGTTGAGTTTCATGTGCAGGCTCGAAACATGGATCCATTGCTGAAAAAATTGAGCTTAATCTCTAGTTAGTGATTAAGGCCATGCAAAGGTTTCAAATTCTCAGTAATTAGTATTGGGGTTTTATAAATCACAGTTTAATCTACATATCTTTCGTTGTTTTTGTTTAGCTAGTGGAGCCAGCTACAAAAAAGCCCCCATATCGTTTCTGTTCAGCCTTGTCAACCCTAACGGTTTACCAGCTTCAAAGCTACCGCTGATAACTGGAAAAGAAGGGAATGCAATCTACTGTAACAATGGAAATGGGCCCACATTTGGAGGAGGTCATGATCTTCGTATTGTAAGTGCACCAAATTCCAACAACTGCTTTGTCAGCCTGAATAATTCGTACCAGTGTCCTACCGGGCAGAATGCTGCCACTTTTTTGCAGGGGAGCCAGAATTTCACTATAAGTGAAATGGAAGTTTTTGGATTCAAGAAGTAAAAGGTTTCTATGGCTTTCATTTGTTAGTTGTTCAGTTAATCGAGGTTCAGCGGCAAGTTTGACTTGTAACAAGTGGAGACCAAATCATTAAATTAAACGTTACGTTTGACGAAGATGTTGTATTTCTTGTATATAGTACGCACTTAATCAAATTTGCCTGAGCAGGTTTCGAAAATCATAGCATAGACGCGTTCAACTTCCCGACAAGCATTTGAAGCGATGGAATGAAACAGCACCATCTTGTTTTAATTCTTGGCGTCGTAAGGCAAATTCATGTGATATTCATTTTCTATCGAAACGAGATAAAATAGCATTTAGTTCCGAAAAATTCTGAGGGAAGTTTCCAAGCCAGGTACTACCAGACACATGGCTAGTTAAAAAAAAAAATTGATAGTCAAAATTATGCCCTATCTAAAAGGCTTCAGCCCTGTTTACCACACCCTTTTTAGAAGTGTCGGGGGAAGAAAAGAAAGCATCTTTCAACCAGGGAAAATGAGAGAGTTCCTCCTTCCCCTGGATGGAACAAGGGTGCAAGGTTGAAGGACCAAGAAGTATGCTCCCCTAGCCATTTTTCCCCTTGTTATTAAAAAATACATTACATAGGTTATCTACTTACTGCCTCCCCATATTGGTCAATTCTAAGTTTTCACGAGACGTCATCAAAATTAAAAAATAAATAAATAAATAAATAAATAAGGAATTATCAGTCCTTATGACTTTTTTAGTTAGTACGTTATCAGAAAAGTTGAAGACTTGTCTTTTTTAAAAAAATATTAAGTTTGATATGGTTTTTCGTCTAGGGGTAAAGCAAGGTTAAATTTCTAAGCTTTTGCGTGACACGATATTAAAATGCTGTGATGTCGATTAGAAAAAGTGGCTTATCTGCCAAGATTTCGCAATCTAAACAGCCCTTGTATAAAAAAAAGTGCTCAAATGGGTGTTTACGAGCCCTTCGAAGACGACTACAGGCTTTTTATAGCAAAACTCGATGACATATGCTTTTGTCATCCTCAGGCCCTCATATTTGTGCCCCTCAGAGGGACGCAAACATGGAGCTCAAAACAAAGCCTTATGGATTTGAGTAAAACATTTCTCTGAATATCTCCCTCGCGAAACATCGCTCAGACC